GAACATTGTGGCAACTTGGAAATATAGTCTACGTGAAAAGGGTGTGGGTGAAATGGGAGAAGCCTGAATTGTTGCCAAAACAAACTAGTCACTGGCTGTTGGGGTCTTAGTTAACTAAGATTCTGGTGTGTTCTGGAGTTCTCTTATTAATAACCCCAATTCTAAACATCCCATGAATTATGGTAGACCATGTCTTGTAGATGTCACTGTTTACAGTGTGGCCAGACTCTATCTTCTGTTGCCTGAAACTGAGAAAAAAAAAATGTTGAAAATACACATAGCAATTGACAAGGGACTTCACAAATACTGACTCTCATTCCCAAGAATAAGAGTTGGCATTCTTTTTCCTTTCATTTTTTGGTAATTCTTTTTACACATTTCAAGTTCTGGTTTTTTTTAAAGTATTTAAGTCAAAAGTGGTAGCTTAACCCCAGAGTTGGAGAGGCAGAGGCAGATCTCTGAGTTCAAGGCCAGCCTGGTCTACAAAGCAAGTTCCAGGACAGCAAGGACTACATCGAGAAAATATGTCCTGAAAAACAAAACAATGCAAAAAAGCATTTTTAAAATATTGGTTCTGAGAGGAAACTGGGAAAGCAAGTGTGTCTGGGAAGTGCTGCTGCGTCAGAGCCAGGCTGCAGGCTGTAGAGAGCTGCGTGACCTCTGGCAAATGCCATCATCTCTCAGTTTCCCCTAGTAAATTAAGACTTCCCAGCAGGGTTGACAGTCTACTATGATGTCAGGGCGGGATGCAAGAAATGTCGAAATCATCCCTTCCTAAAGAGCAGAATTTAGGAATTCAGTCTTAGTTGTTATTGCCTGTCTGCTCCATCCACCCCACTCAGAGTCTTGTACACAGGGTTTAGAATTAAAGGGACTGTCTACTCAGCCTATAGCAGAATCCAATCCCAGGCCTCTCGGTGGCAGAGGCTGACATTCTTGCTGCTCAGTCTTCTCAGTGTTCCCATGCCCTGTTCTCTATGCCTTGGGACCCAGCCTTGTCATTGCTTCTAGGCCAGTCATAACTGTGTCTTACCTGCTGATCTTTATCTTCCCCCGGCCCTGAGTACTCAGATCCATCACTTCATTGAGCCTGGGTATAGAAAACCAAGGCTAAAAGGCAAATACAGATGACTTAGAGTACGTGGAGGGTCCATCCTGATAAGTCCGTGAAAAGGGCTTTGAATTTATGTCTTACAAAAATGTCATAAACAGACTATGCATTTAAGCTACCTGACCTCCTAAGACTCATAGCTCAGTCATATGGTCCACTAGAGTCCCTCAAGATGATGTGGTTGGCTGCAATCCGAAGCTCACTGCCTCTTACTGGCATCAAGGCAGGATGATGCTGTGTTCCCTAATCTGGACAGAGCTCAAAACTCAAAATTCTAAGTCGGGCTGGAAAGATGGCTCTGCAAGTGAAGGCAGTTGTTGCCAAGCCTGGCAACATAGATTCAATCCTTGGGAGAGGAGAGGACCAACTTGTGTGATTTGTGGCCTAACTTTCACATGCTACACGTCCTGACAACACACTGCACCCACCACACACACATAGTACATAGGTTTGGTTTGGTTTGGTTTGAATTTTTTTTTTTTGGTATTTTTTGTTTGTTTGTTTTTCAAGACGGGTTTCTCTGTGTATCTTTGGCTGCCCTGGAACTCACTCTGTAGACCAGGCTAGCCTTGAACTCACAGAGACCCCCCGCCTCCGTCTCTGCCTCCCAAGTTCTGGGATTAAAGGCATGCACCATCACCTCTTGGCTTAGGTTTGTAATTTTTAAAATCTATATCCAGTTTCTACCAAATATTCATTGGTTTCACACCATCGTAAGTTGATGTATCTTCATTTCTAAACTCCTTCTGGTTCAGCTCCATTCCAGATTTCCTTGAGTCAAGAAAGTAGCAAGTGGCCTTGGGCAATTTGGGGGAAGAGATGATGGAAGAGGAACAGCCGGATTCCTCCTGCTATAAGCACACTGGTAAAGTGAGGGCAGGAGCCCTTTTCAGCAGGGTTGTTGGATGCTGGAGTGAGTTAGCATGTTGCAGAGGCCCAGCAGAGTGCCCAGTGCCCAGTGCCCTGAACTGTCGCGCTCCCATCCTCCTTCAGCCCCTTGCCTGGTTTCAGGTCAGGAATCCCCAGTTCCTGCTGAATCTGCCAGTTTGTTGGCTCCTATCACACGGGCTGTTTGTGTTTGCGTGATTCCATCCAGCTGTGGGTTTTCTTCCCTTTCGCCTTTTATGGGATGGGCTCTGAGCCAAGGGTACTTCATCTGGCGTCCATGGGACCCGGGTTTCCCTTCCATGGATGAGCTTCAGAGGCTCTGTTAGTTTGGAAGTTTTATGTTTTATTTCTCTCTTTTTATTGCTTACTTTTAATATCTTAACAAATGTATACATCATCTCCTAGCAAAATTCTCACCAAATATAATCATCTATCTTTAGCAGATTTGAGTTTAAATTTGGTATGGGTTGGTCTGGGATCCTGAGTTGAGTTTTTAACCGGCTCCCAGGTGTTCCTTCTGGTGCCGCTAAGATGGTCTCACTCAGAGCGGTGACACCGGGAGGGCCTCTGACTAGCTGTTTACCTTCTTTGGCCCACTAGCTTTTCTCACTAGGAAAAGGTGAGACTACCCTTTTCCTATAGCAAGTTATATGGTCACCAGAACCAGCCACCCCATACTGGAATTCTTATCACAAAAGGTGTTTCCATGCCCCAGCAGCCGAATCTCTCTCTTGACCTCTGCATGTTCTTCTCCATTAGCCATGGATGAGCGGTTGCACACCAAGGTGATCACCATGCCTTTTAGCAGCCAACCATGGAGCCCCTTATTCTAACAGATGAGTGACCAATATGACTTCAAAATTCCATCTTGAAGACTTGGTATTTATAATTACCAGTTTCAGTTAGTTTTTAATAAAATGGGACGCAAGGAAAGAAGGCTGGACTCAACACTTGGATAAGCCATCCGGCTACATGGAGGTACAAATGACCTGTATTGTAGAGCTTGTGACTGGTCAGCCCCTACCATGTATCTAGTCAGGAAATGGAAGTTCTGAGGGATCAAGGGGAGATATACATAAGTCACTGCCCATTACAGCCCCAGGGGATAGAGCCCTGGATACAGAAGAAATTGTGTTGGTTGTTGTTTTTCTGTAGCCATTGACTTTCCCTTTTGTGCCCATGTGACAAAGAGCTAGGATACTTTTTAAGTCCTCTTGTGTAATCTTGCCTCATAGTAAGCCAGCCAGAAGCCAGGTGGACAGTAATTCATCCATGGGAACTTGCTCCTCCTCTGCACACCGTAGATACTGCATCGTTTCCTGTCTTCTGGAGGGGATGGCTCTGCCACACTCCTAGAGTTTACTTGTATGTGAAGGTAGCTTCATGGCTGTATATCATTCCTGGTCCCTTTCTCTTCCTACCTTATCTATCCCAGGGATAGAATAGTCAATGATTTGTGAGCCTTCAGTGGAAACAGAGCCTTTTGTCTCTCTCTGTGGGACAGTGTTTCTTCAACAGAGAGTAACCATACCCCTTCGGTCAGCTCTTCCCTGTCATTGGTCTGGGTAGTGCTTCCAAGGCCTGCTCACCATTACCACCTGCCTCGTCTTTCTCCACCTCAGTTAGAGGGGGTGAACAGGGAAACACAGAGGCTGTTCCATAGATTTCTTCAAATGTCCGAGTCCCGCAGACCCGTGTGACCTTGGTGATTTGCTGAATCTCATGAGACCTCCATTTTCCTATCCTGAAAATCAGAATAACCTCTACTCATGGCAGTGGAGTACCGGGATTAACTGAGATAATATATAGGGAGCTTTAAGTGCCCAGAAAATACACAATAACAATAGCTGTTGTCATGATTTCACTGTGGAAAGAGACTAGAACTGAGCCTGGTTCTCCTTACAGGTAGGGTCTTACTATTTGCAGACAGAGCTGGGCCAGTTTAGCAGTTTAGCCCCACCCACCGATGAATAATCCCCATGCTCCCAGGGAGCCTCTCATTTATGAACTTGGAAGCCTTTCTCTCCAGTTTCCCTCACCGATTTATTTCTCAGTGAAGATGTAGGGGCATGGGTGGCAAGGTGCCCTTCGCTTCAGAGCAGGACTTTGCCTCTGCCCCCTCTTCTAAAGTGATGCGAAGGTAAACTGTTCACACTGTCTTCTCTCGAAATGTCATGCGCGTCATAAAACTTCTCACACATAAAACCAAACTTAAGTATCAAGGCTTTGGACTCAGTGTGTGAGAGGACTCAGGAAAAAGAAATCACACTTCATTAAGAAGAAGAAAGGCTTTGGAAAAAAATCTGTACAATATACAGTGTGCTAACTCACTTCCAGGAAGCAATTGCAAAATAGACCACGTTGCTGACAGCGTCAGGAAGCTCACACATGGATTTGAGGTTCCCAAACAAGATTTTGATGGTTACAGTGAAGTGGTATATACCCAGGCTCTGAAAAACAGTTCATCCTTGAATCTCTTTTGGGTTGGAATGTTCCACAGGGCGGTTCCCTGACTTTTCTGTCACATTCTGAAGTGGGGGTTGTTTGTTCTATAAGGTGCAGGATTCAGGGAGAAAAATCAAGTCTAGAGAATCCCCTTCCCCATCGTCATAGAGCACCAATAGCCTTCCTCTGCACAGGAGGGCATGCTCTTTCTCTCCCGTGTGTATTCTGGGCATCTCAGCATTTCCGATGGTCTGTATCTTCTGCAGAGGGGTTGTTATGCTGCAGGTATTGTATTTGATATAGGCTTGCCTTTTCTGACCAGACAAGGAAATTCAAAGGATGATGCTGCTGTCACTGCTGCCAAGCTCCAGTCACATGACCGTGCATTCCCAGGACTTTGAATACAACAAGATTTAAGATAGTGTTTTTGGTTCTCTCTTGACGATCTCTGTCATGTCTCTCATTGTTGTGTGTAGTGTGCTTGACAGTGTGGTCACTGTGGGAAGGCAGGTTTCTTCAGCAATTGCTTACAATACTGTTTACGCTTTTCACATAGGTGGCTGCACTCCAATCCCAGAGTCAGACGTAGACGAAAGATCTCTAGAGGAGTCTGCAGAGCTGTTTACCAACCACAAGCACCTCATCGAAGAGACCCCTGTGCCTGGTGAGACTCTCTGATCCGCTTCTGACATATTGGAGTGTTTTGAAAAACGACTTGTTTTCTAATGTCTTCATCTTGGTGCAGGTGACTGGGCAGTGTTTCCATTTCTGTCGGTATTCAATCCTACCCCTCTTTGTTTCTTCTTCCCAGAAGTTGCAGCCCTCCAGGGAGTTTTGGAATAGTCGGAGTCAAGCTAACTTGACGGAAGGAAGACGCCCTTTCTGAGGCTGACCCTGTATGGACACTGTGCTCCTACCCTGGTGCTGTGCCAAGCTCACCCCTGGAGGTGACTGCGTGGAGATGGGGTCGGAGCTTTTGTGTGTGCTAGGAGGGCTTGGACTATCACAGACCGGTCATCCGAAAGACAAGATTTGTCTCTTCTTCCCAGGAAAACTGTTGCTGCCTTTAGTCATGAGTGCTTATAGACAGAGGGTCTAGCAAGATGGCAGAGTTTGGAAACAGGCTTTAAAATGCAGGGATCCAGATGGAAAATAATTTGATAGCCCATTTTTTTTCACAGAATTCTTATGTAGTAAATGTATCAAGTTTAATAAAGCATCTAATTGTCAAACAATAACTTGGACATAATTTATAACAAAGGTTATGCGTATGATTTCTCTGTATTATTTTAGAGAGACTGAAAAGTTTGATACTCCCTAGTAAGACTTGGGTGTGCCTATTTAATAGGTAGAAGAAGTGTTCGGAGCTGTCACTGCATTTGCTCTATTGAGCTAGCGTGGATAGGGTGACTTCCTAGTGGTCCTGAAAGCACTTTAAGGAAGCTGGTACACTAACATCCACTTTTAATCACCCTCTGAGTGATGCCTTCCACAAATCCATGGACTATAGGGAGCCACACCTTATTATTATTAAAATAGAATTATATTATTATAATATAATAGAATTATATATATAATTATATATATATATGTGGAATTATAAATTACAAGACTTTTACTTACTTTGGGTTTTGCCTAAGAGTAGGATTCAGATTAGTTAAACATGCCCATGTTAGTTTCAGGATACCTCTCAATCAAATCTCAGAGGGAAGTGGCTTATAGTTTTTTTTTTCTCAATATGTGAAACATCACAAATGCAAAAGATGCCTTCTTTGTTATTTACAGTATCCTTTTGTAGGAGACAGAACAGAAAATGTAACAGCCTTAATTGTATCGCACACAAGAGGGGGTAGCTTCTAGCTTGTGGCTTCATCTAGCATAGGTACTGGAACAAAGATGTCGTTCATAGTCTGGTGTGTGTCACAGCACTCTCTCCTGTCTTTTCTGATAATATCTCACCACATAAACCAAGCTGGCTTTAAACTCACAGTCCGTCCCTTCAACCCCTATGTGTGTGTTTCTAATTAGCATTCTTCAGCGCAGTCTCCGTCTTGACTTTCTCCGTTCATTTGCCACGACTCATCTTTCTTTTCCTTCATCCATCTCCTACTTCCCAGTACCTACTTCCTGTTCTGGCATTTGTGGAAGTGGGGAGGACTGGGTTTTGTTTTGGATCTGGATTCATGAGACAGCATTTTTCACTTTGTAAGTCTGGAACTCACTGTGTAGCTCCAGGCTGTTCTTGAACTCTCTATCAGTTGAGGTTATAACTCAGTATGTTCAGTCCTGGGGTCTGTGAGCTCCCATCCATGGTGTGGTGGTTTGAATGTAATTAGCCCCCATAAGCTCACAGGGAGTGACACTATTAGGAGGTGTGGCCTTGTTGAAGTAGGTGCTGTCTTATTGGAGGAAGTGTATCTCTGTGGGGGTGGAGCTTGAGATCTCTAGTTCAGCTCATTTCCTATTGCCTGAGGCTCGAAGCCGCAGAATTCCCAGCTCCTTCCCCAGCACCATCATATCCCACCATGATGATAATGGACTGAACCTGTGAGTTGTAAGCCACCCAATTAAATGTTCTCCTTTATAACAGTCGCTGTGGTTGTGGTGTCTCTTCACAGCAGTAGATACCCTAACAAGACCCATGCGTTCTTGGCCAGATTTCCAGGACCTGGAATGCATTCCCTCCTAAGGAGAGGGCCTTCCATCCAGTCAGACATGATTGTTTCCCCGAGTATCTGTGCCATTATCACACAAAGAATGCATGGCGAACCTTTCATTACCGCAGCTCCCAGCGTGCAGCTGGGTAGGACTGATGATATTGATTTTGCTCCCTGTTTCCGTTTCATTGGTTTCTGCCCTGACACGCACTGTTCCTCTCTATCTCCTGCTTTGGGATCAGTTTATTCTTGTTTTCCTTTGTCTTCGCGTCCTTGTCAGGTTGCTTATTTAAGATTTCTCTGGATTTTTAAGTAGAGACACTGAGAACTATCAACTTCTTTCTTGGGACTTTTTTTTTTATCCCATAGATCTGGACATGTTATGTCTTCATTATCACTTAATTTCAGGTTTATTTGTTTTTTTATAAAAACTTCCTTCTTGATTTCTGCAGTGACCCATTCACCCCTCGATAGTGTGTTGTTTAATGTCCATGAGTTTGTATCGTTTCTTTTCCCAGTTGATTTATAGCTTTATTCCATTATGGTTGGATGGAATACCAGTGGCTCTTGAATTTTTCCTTTTTTTCTGAGACTTGCTATGTTTCCTGATATGTGATCTTTCCTAGAGAAGGTAACTTGAGATCCTGAGAACATTGTGTGCCTCTGATGTTTGGGTAAAATGTTCTATAGCTGTCTGTAAGGTTTATTTTATTTAATTCCAATTTATTTTCAAGTACTTTTTTGTACAGGTGATCTGTCTCATGGTGAGAATTGTGCATTGAGGTCACCCACTATGACTCTGTTGGAGTTAATATGTGATTTTAAATCTAGCAGTGTCTTTTACAAACTTGGATGAGCCTTTGGCACATATGTATTAAAATGGAGTGATCACCTAATCAGTATTAAATAGCCCTCTTATTTCCATGTGCTTGGAATACATTCTTCTGTCCTTTCCCTCCAGAATAGTGTTTAGTCTTGGCCTTGGGGAGGAAGATGTTCTTGAAGGCAGTGATAGGCAAGGTTTGGTTTTCTAATCCACTCTGATATTCTGTATTTTTTGGTAGGGAGATTAAGACCAATGATATTTGAAGTTCTTATTGAAAGATAAGTATTGCTGTCTATCATTCATTTGGTTTGTAGTATTTGGGAATGTCTTGGTCTTCTTCTGGTTAATGTGTCATAGCATCTTAGTTCTCCCGCTGCAGTCCTTCGAGAATGTTTGTCTTTCTCTTCCGACTCACCTAGCCACTGCTAGCCACTGTAGGGCTGGCTTGGGAGTCATGCATTCTCTTATCCTGTTTTTGTCGTGGGAAGTTTTTCTCCCATCTTCAATTATGACAGATAGTTTTGCGAGGAACATTAGGCAGGGTTAGTATGTGTGCTCTTTAAGAGTTGGAAAGATATGAGTCCAAGTCTTTCTTGCTTTTGTGACATGGATTGAAAAGTCAACAGTTATTATAATGGGTCTGGCTTTGTTTTTTGTTTTGTTTTGTTTTTTGTTTTTTTGAGACAGGGTTTCTCTGTAGCTTTGGAGCCTGTCCTGGAACTAGCTCTTGTAGGCCAGGCTGGCATCAAACTCACAGAGATCCGCCTGCCTCTGCCTCCCGAGTGCTGGGATTAAAGGTGTGGGCCACCACGGCTCGGCATGGGTCTGGCTCAGTATGTGACTTGGTCCTTCTCTTTTTACGACATTCTATATATTTTCTTTGTTCTCTACATTTAATGGTTTGCATATAATATGATGTGAGTTTTATTTTGGTCCTGTCTGTTTTGATGTTGTGTGCCTCTTGTGTCTGGGCTTTCTTATACTTGGGAAATTGTCTTCTATGATTTTTTTAAAGTTGTTTTCTATGTCTTCTACATGAAATATTTCTCCTACTGTTATGCCTAGGATACATAGTTTTGTCTTTTCATGGAGTCCCAGAGTTCTTGCATGTTCTCTTCATACATTTAACGAAAATATCATTGTCCTTGACTAGCTGTTCTAATTCCTATATTTCATTTTCATACCCTGATATTTTCTCTTCCATTTTATCCATTCTATTGATAAGACTTTCCATTGCAATGCTTAACTCAGATTTTTTCATTTCCCTCATCCTGTTGGTTTGAATTTTCTTCAGTATTTCTATTCTTTTATTAAATCCTATTTTCTTATCATGGACTGACTTCCTTTTATTCAGGTGTCTGTAGTCTTCTGGAAAAATATTGGTGCCTTCTTGAGTTGACTTTTACCATAGTTGTAATAATTATTTTAAATTATATATCTAGAATTTGATTCCATCATTTTGATCAGGATCATTCATTATGGAGTTGATCATTTTTGGAGGAAATAACTTGTCTCGGTTTTCATGCTACTTGTGATTTTGTACTAGGATCTGCCCATCTGGGTAGCTAGGTGAGATTTGCTGTTGCCTTTGTGTTTTAGTTTGGATTAATTTTTTTTCTTTCAGTGACTGTATTTTCAGTGCTCAGGAGAAACTAGAATGTATTCCAGGTGTGGTAGCATTTCTGTCCGTTTAAGTGGTGATCCAAGCGCCGGGCTCGATCTTTAGTCTGCTGCACGGGTTGAGCACTGTCTGCAACAGCAGCTACTCTCTGGCTGGTAAACCATTTTGATAATAGAGTAGCAGGTGGCTGCAAGACAGGCCCTTGTTAAATACCAGTAAGTTTAGGGGGTCGGAGGGCTCCACTGGTGCTGTACATGTTAATGTGTTAGCGTAAGTGTAGTGGAAAGGTGAGGTCAGCAATCGCGGTGATACTGGCAATGAGTGTTAGCCGTTAGATGGGAAGTCGGGAAGTGGGGCATACATAGGAGTGGGAATAATTGAGCAAAGTGAAGAAGATAGGGTGGATAAGTGGGAGGTTTTGTTAACAGTAGACTTTAATAAAATAGAACCCAGCTCTACCACTGGGCTTTGGGAGATGGAACAGTGACCGAAATTGGTACAGGGAAAGAGGATGAGGAAAGATGGAGGGGGAGAGAGCTGGGAGAGAGAGAATAGTGTTGGCCACATTTCAGTTCTTTGTACCTGAGACACCTCTAAGGCTTGGGAGCAGAGTTGTGTGGAGACATAAGATGATGGAATCACTGGCAGATAGAGAATCAATGTGGCGGCATAGGAGAGCTGGGTGTGAACCTAAGAGAAAGTGAGCATCATCCTGAATACTGCTCACCTCCCCTTGGTTGGCCTGCTGTGTTGTCTCCTTGGTTACGGTCTGGACTGTAGCATGAATAATAAAAACCCTGAGACAGATACTGGGGTTCAACCTGAAGATCAGAAAAGCAAACCAGTCGAACCACTAGAGAGCTCTTACCTCTAGGAAATCCTCAGACTGAAAGAGAACGAGTCCCTGTCTCGTCCTGCCTTATAGTCCTCTCTCGTGCAGGGATTAAAGGTGTGAACCACCACCACCTGGGTCTGTTTCTGCATTGATCTTGTGTAGACCAGAGTGGCCTTGAACTCAGAGATCCATCTTCCTTTGTCTCCCAAATCCTAGGATTAAAGGTGTGTAACACCATGCCTGGCTCAGTTTTACCTTCTGGTCTTCAGGCAAGCTTTATTTATAAAACATAATAAAAT